GCTACACACGTTGAAGAGCTGACAGATCAAGGGGTAGGGCTGAACAGTTGACAACTCTAAATGCAAACTGTATGTAGTTTACCCAAGATTAACTTTTCACTTACCCATTGATAGATGTTCTAGACATAAAAAGGCTAAAACTGGAGGACACAATAGAGTGGTAGAGCTGGATAAACAGCCAGCCTGACTTCTCAATGCTGTTGTTTAAGAAGATCTGTGTTCCTTGGTCAAGGTAACTCTGGACAAAAATGGGCTGAAGGGATTCAGACAACTGTTCTGTGTTGCAGACATACCACTGGAGAAAGAGATAAAGGACCATTAAAAGGTTCAGCAAGACAAAACCAGAAGTAGTTAAAATTAATACATGGAAAGCTATTATCAATTTTCCTAAATATAAAAATTTAGGTTTTGCTACAGACTTCTCAACAAACTTCAGGATTAAATTAATTTAGAATTCTAATGAAGGGAGGACCAATTACTTGCTAAAAAATACTGCTTTTAATTTTTGTCCTAATCATTACCCTGTACTTTGAAGAAATCTATAAAATAAATTCCCTAGAAAGCAAACACAGCTCCTCTAGGGAACAGCATCACTCTGATAAAATAGTATGAAGCGGGACTTTTCCCTAGGCATCCTCTGAAGAGAGATCAGCAAGTGCACTTCCAATATTTTTCAAGGAAAGAAGAATCCAATATATACATTAGACCACAACTTGTATGTCTTACAGTTGAACTATGTTTTTCACTTACCAGTACCAACAAGCAGATCCACAAGTCTTTCAAACAATTTTATCTATGAAACTCCTTCTTTAAAACCTTGCAAAACAAGGCAAACCTGCAGAAATTCTGACATTTTAGGACCCTCATGGTCACCTTTTGCACCTCCAGCAAACCCCTCCAATGCTGCAACATTCTGGAATGTCAGCACTGATAATAAAATTCAAAAGGCTGCTCATTGCTAGGTTGCAATGCCAAGCTTAAAGCCCCCTCAACTTGATATTTAAAAGTTATTAAAGTTTCAAATGCAATTTTAATTAGGAAGGTCACTATTATTTCTCACTCTCCTACACTTTTGTGGAGTTATTGTCAGTCCTTCTTGTAGAATGCCATTGTGTCTCTTTTCTTATAATCAAGAATTATTCCCTACAGCCAACATCATCTTATCTCCCCCTTGGATCTTGCAATAATGTTCCTTAATGTGGCTGTAAGAGTTCATTGTGCAGACAGGGAGTTGTGAGTATCCGAAAGAGAAATGGAGAGTTTGAACAGAACCCTGGAAAAAATACACATGGAAGGGCAGAAACAATCAGCTGGGGGAACTCCAGTTAAATCTAAAACTTAGATTTAACACCTAAGGCACTGTGAAGACGTGTGCTCATATCCTGATCCCTTCACATTTGTTTGCCTTGTTGGGAGAGGAACGTTCACTTAATGCAGGTTTACACAGCGTTCAGCACAGTGGGACTTCCAGTCATTACTGTAATGCAAATAATAATGGGGTAGGATTCTTATTCCAGTGTCTGCTGCTCCACAGCAGCAGTGCCAGCAAGCAGAGGGGAGCAGGGAGCTGCACCAAGGTCATTGTGCCAGATCCATGAACAGGGGCTCCATCAAACACTGGCCCAAAGTAGCAAGGGATGTTCAGACCCTTCAGCTGAGGAGCAAACATGTGCCTGCTCAGGTTTACTTTGAAAACCACCTGGATAATGGGTGCACTTCTGGCAGAATGAGCCTCTTGACTGTGCTTTCAAACACACTTGTAGAGAGCACAAGTGAGTGCTCCTTTCCTCTAAAAAACAGATTTTGAGCAAGTCTGTACCACATGATGGAAGCTGGCACAGGGATCCCCCAGAGTGCTGATTTACCACTTTAGGTGTTTTCTCACTGCAGTGCAGCACTAGATAAATGAATCAGCACAGTCCAGTGATTCCCAAAAGGAATCCTTAGTGGGTCATGAAAAACCACTAAAGCAGCAGCCTGGGTACTCTGTCCATTCATCTTCAGAAGCAAATTTCAAGAGCCTGGCAGGAGCAAGCAATCCCAAGGAGCTGCAGAGCAGGCTGGGATGTGCATCAGGTGCACTCATGAGGCTGCTGCCTCACTACACTGAACAGGTTTGGTGTGGCTCAGACGATTTGCCTTTTGCAACGTGTTGCCATTTTCAATCCAGAAGAAAACACACTCAACTATCAAAGCTTTGGGAAACACAGGCTTTGTTCCATAAGCAATAGGACTACACATGTGCTGCACCCGAGCTCATACAACCTGGACTTCTGCACTGAGCTGTCACCTGTAGTTCCACTGAAAAACAACAGTCCTGCAATTCTGGTCTTTAAGACTCCTAAATATTGACATAATCACTGGCAGAAGGATGATGGTGACACCTAACATAACCTTGTTTCCAGAAATTAGGCTTTATTCAGAGATCTCCTCTAATTTTGATATGGTTTAGTGGCCATGGTGGTACTCGGTCAAAGGTTGAACTTGATGATCTTGGAGTTCTTTTCCAACCTTAAGAATTCAATGATTCTACAATTCTCCATGGTTAATCTTGCCAATAAGGTTATTGACAAATACCTATACAACCCTAAGTGCAAACTGTAAGTAAAAAAAAAAAAAAAGGTAAAACCAATACAAATTTCAAATGAAAAAACTGGTGAAAAACAGCTTAACTCTGGAACCATCTCTTCAGAACAGAAACTGCTTTTGTTTTCATTCATGTACAGTATATGAAAGGCCACTAGTTTCATGACACAAAGTGTATCAATCTCTCAGATTGTTGTGTTAAGACTGTTGTTATAATAAAAGTTATAATTCTTACAACTCTTGCCTAATATTAGTAAAAGGACGAACAAGTTCTTTTAGATAATCTGGATAAAACTAATTAAGTCAGTAAAACTGCAGAGTCAAAGTTCCAGGGGTCTCAAGCTGCAATCCTTACTTATGAGTAACCCCACAAACTCACTAATCGTAAATCTTACTAAACGTATTAAAAAAATCAATACTCTAAATTTTAAATCTAGATCAAATAAATCAGAAATGGAGATTATCCACTGCAGACCATCTACCTGTGAATGACATGATCACCTCCATAACACATTCCCCTGGATGACTTGTCTTCCTAGTAATTTTTAACAACACAAAAGACTCAGATTTTCTTTGTTAGCCAGAAGGAAGGTTTTTTTCCATAAACCTAAATTCTACTTCTCTTTGTACTTATGCACTGAATGAACCACACATGTATTAAACCCCAGTGAAACATTCCCTCAGCAGTAAGATTCTGGATGTCAATGCCCACCCTGAGCATTAAGAACCCGTAGTAATGGATCAGCTTGAAGAATTATGGTGCATAACCATAATAAACCCTTTGTACAGCAGTCCTCAAGTGTTCATGCTGTGTCTTCTTCGTTAGCTCAGTTCTGCATATATTACCTACATTAAGCTGCCATCTCCCTTCCCCAATAAGTTTTTATTAGCCCCTCTAACTCCTGTCAGATTTTCAGTTGCATTTTGTCAAAATATAGAACAGGTTTGAATATATTCCAAATGAAGTCTATCACATAACCATTTAATTGCTAGGGTACAGCCCCTGACTTCTCCACAAGGTACTAACCCATGTGCCTACACTGCCCAAATATAGCACTTAACCTTTTATTGCAGCCGGATCACATTGCAATAACTCATTCCCAGTTTGCCACCTCCCACTGCTCCAAGGCCTCCGTGAGCTTCGCAGTTCCCTACTTTGTTTTCCTCTAGAGGCACCGGTACTGATGACAAATATCCCTGTGATTAGAAACCCACCCCCCTCAACACCACCACCTGCAGACTTCGCGGAAGCCTCTGACGGGGCTCAGCGGGACACACCGGGGGGTACATCCACACATTGCGATGTACATCCACTCACCGGGGGTTCACCCACACATTGCGATGTACATCCACTCACCGGGGGTTCACCCACACACTGGGACGTACATTCACAAACCGAGGGGTACACCCGCGCACTGGGATGTACATCCACTCAGCCGGGAGTACATCCACGCTCTGGGGCCGCAGTCCCCCGGGAGCAGCTCTGGCCCCGACCCACCGCTGCTCCCCCGCCGGGCTCTCCCCGACCCCCCGCGGCCCCGCAGCGCCGGTCCCGCCCCGCCGGCGGGCCCCGGGGCGCGTCCCACACGGGGGGCACACGGCAACTTTCTCACCGGAGCGCCGAGCAGTTCCCTCTCTTTGTCTGCGCTGCCCGGCCCGGAGCCCCCTCAGCCCGCACCGGGGTCCCCGCTCCCGCCGCCGCTCCCTCCCGCCGGACCCCCGGCCCTGCCCCGCGGCGCTCCCCGGGGGCGGGGGGTCCCTGTGCCGCCCCCGCCCGCCGCGCTGAGGGGAGGCAGGGGCGGGCAGGGCGGCCCGGCCGCCGCCGGGGCTGTACCTGGTGGTTCTCCCTGGCGCCCGGGGCTGGCTGGCGGTGGCTGCCCATCATATTCACGTAGAGGGACCTGGATAAAGGGCTCCGCAGGTAGCGGGCAGGGCCAGCCCACATCGTCCTCCTGAGCACCCACAGGAGCAGGGTGTAGCAGCCCAGCCAGCACAGCCACCGTCTCATGGGGAAGGGGCGCGCTCAGCCCCGCGCGGCGCCGCCGCCCCCCCGCTCCATGGCAGCGGCGGCTCCGCTCGGGGCCCGCGCACACGCTCCGCGCGGAACGCGCCGCCGCGGCAGCGGGGCCCGCCCGGACGCCTTCGCTGCGACACGCCGGGGCCTGGCGCGCACCCGCTCCCTCCCTCTCTCTCCCTCCCTCGCCAATGGCCGGGCGGGCGGGGCCGCCTTCGAGCCGGAGCGGGCAGGGCAGGGCGGGGCGGGCTGGCGGCGGCGGAGGCTCGGCCGGGCCCCTCCTTCCTCCCCGCCCCGGGCACCGCGGGCGGCGACGGCCCCTTGGCGGGGTTCGCGCACGTGCCCGGCGCCGCCCTGTCACCCTGGTGCGCCTGCGCAGAGCGGCCCGGCGGGAGCGGGGCTGAGGGACAGGGACCCCCGGGAGCCGGGGCAGAGGGAGTCACGGGAACACCGAACCGATTCGGTCGGAAGAGAGCTCCGAGACCACCGTGTCAACCAGACCATGGCACTGAGTGCGTCCACTCTTTCCTTAAACAGGTCCAGGGACAGTGACTCCACCACCTCCCTGGGCAGCCCCTTCCAATGTCTAATCACCCTTTCTTCCTACTGTCCAACCTAAACCTCCCCTAGCACAGCTTAAGACTATGTCCTCTGGTCCTGGTGGTTGTAGAGACCAACAAGGTCCCCCCTGAGCCTCCTTTTCTCCAGGCTAAACATCCCCAGCTCCCTCAGCCGCTCCTCACTAGACCTGTGCTCCAGACACTCCCCAGCTGCTTTTTAAAGAGACATCTTCTTGCAATGTATAAAGCAAAAACTAAAACTGCTTCAGGTTAGTTACATGTTGCTCACAGGGAAACATACCTTAATTTCATCACATCGAAAATACAGATAATTGATTGCATACCAGATAAGGAATACACTTGCTTTTTCGCTTACAACCTGGGTGTGTTTTAATGAGATTTCCCAAAGTTCCTACCCAGCGTTACATTAATATTCTGACGCAGTAGTTGTATACTCAGCATATTTTTCTCTTGACAGGCTATAAAGAACTCACTATTCATGCATATTTAGGTAATAATTTTGATGTATTGTTTTTTGCATATAGGCTGGTGGAGTTGTAACCAATTGCTGGACAACCTCGGAAAAATATTTGTTGTGTAAGTGTATTGCTTTATCATTCAAAGCAATTAGTGTGCTGAGAGGGGATTTCCAGAGAAAATCGAATCACTGTTTTTCTGTTTTCTCCCCAACTATTTGGCTAGTGCTTTTTTTCTTTCTCTTGATGGAAAATATCTATAATTGATTGAATACCTGAAGTCCAAAAGATCGCAAACATACCCAAAGGCTTTAACAGGGGAGGTATTTCTTTGTGGTGATCCCAAGGAGCCTGGCTTCTGGAGCAGGGTTGGTGACAGGGCTGGCTGCACAGCCTCAAGGAGTCTAAAATGTAAACCTTCAATTTTCCTGATAAAATACTCTGATAAAACGACTTTCCCTTTTATTATTTAAACATTAGTAAGAAAGTGATTACCACAAAGAGGTCTTTAAGGTAAACACTGATAGAGATCTAAAATCCTCTCCCCCAAGGGTAACCCAGGAAGTCGAGTTAAGGAGTTGAGAGTCTGTCCAAGCTCTTTAAGAGCTCCCACCAGTCTCATTGTGTGTTCCTTTACAAAACCAGCTGGGATTCTTTTGCCTCCATGTACTACTGAGCTTTTTCCCTGAGCTGGCTTCATTGGGCAAGAATTGTGGAGATGTGGCTTATCTTAACTGTTCCTTCCCCTTCCTGCTTGTCTTTCCTGACAGCACCCATTAAGATGTAGAACCATATTCAAATGTAAACATCCTACTGGCCATGTCAACAGAGTATATTCATGAATTACTGAGCAGTTCCAAAATCAGAGCAGCAGATTTGAGACTGGGAAGGTCATTTTGTACAAGACCAAAACAGAGGTGGGCCTGTAAGCTCCACTAAACATAATTTTTTCCCACTTAAAGTTAAATATGCTTTGTTGTCATTTGTTCAATATTTTCACTCTATCACTGGCTATATATTGTATTATTGCTATATTAGACTAACATTCTTGAGTGTCTATTAGGTAACAGCCTTTTAAATCTAGCAGGCACTTTTACCTATTGATTTTCAATAAATAAAATTCATTCAGTGTATTAAGATCCACATTCTCAGAATTTATAGAGAAACTCTAAGAATGGGATTCAAGCATCACATTTCTCATCCTCTGAACTTACCACAGCATTTCATATTTTATATTATACACACACTTATATCCTCTTTATCAGTTATGAGACTATTTTAGACACTCTTAAATTATCAAGATTAAACTGAGGCATTTGTCCAGCAGTGGGAGTTCAAACTCAGATACCATTTGCTAATAAGGAGAGAAAGCAGAGAAACCAGCTGTTGCAAGACACTGAACTTTTGCCTTTGATCATCCCTTATTTGATTCACAGCCAAAACCAAAGATGTAGGTTTAGCAGAGGATAGCAAAGTTTAGTGGGTGACAGAGAAATGGAGAATAAAGCATGTCAGTCACAGCACAGAGCCAACCTTCTACTCCTGTAGTAAGATACTACCCCAATTTAAAGCACTTTTAAGTCCTCTTTTGGATTGACTATCAATGCAATGAAATACACCTTTTTTCCTGCCCTTATTGCAAGAGAAACAGGACAGACAAATGGCAGAATACATAATAAATTTGGAAAATTATTAATATTTTACATATTAAGTAATTTGTATTGTATTTCTCAGATTTGCTTTCTAAACTGGTTTATTCTACAGTTAATGTCCCCTATCTTCAGGCTGCCTTGCTTAGACATCTTTGACTATTTACTTTTCCTATCTTAATTCTAAAGATGCAGTGGTTTGTAGAGACTATTCAAACTGTGCCTTCAGTCAGGTCACTCCTTACTCTTATTTCAGCAAATTGAATGGTACTGTTACCAAACATTTTCCAGAAAAAAATAATTCTGATAATTTCAAAGAATCCTTGATGTAATTTTGACTCTTAAACCCACTTATTAGATTTCCTGTTGCATAGCACAGTACTCTTCCAGCTGCACATTATGTTTTAATAACTTAGTATTAGAAATAAGTTACAGAGTCGCTTAAGAAACTCTATTTGTGGTACAATAACATTTTCACCCATCAAAACATATATTCTACAAGGACAGGATGAACATAGCAAATTTAGGAACTACAGAAACAGTAGAGAAGACTATTTTAAGTTACTTATTACCATTTTAAAGGAACTGTCAGGGAGAAGACTTTCATATAATGAATCAAAGATTATATTAACTTAAATTTCTTCAGCTTTTTGTCCTTTGGCTTTTGATCCTGCCTTTCAGACACAAAATTAATACACACAATGCAGGAAATCTTTTAAAATTCAGAATCTAAACACACAGGCCGTATCTGCTCTGGTATTTGTATTTACATATCCAAGGAATATTTACACAAGTGATGCTGGAATGTGTACATAATTCCATTAGCATGTACAATGCAAATGAATAACGGGATCTCTGACAAGACAGATAAAAACCAGATAATGCAACTTAAAACTTCACCACACTTCTGGCTTGTTACATTTTAACATAAATCTTCATATTCCTATCAAAGGGTTCATTTGGATTTCTAAATATTTAACGATGCTATCCCACTTTTTCACTCAGCGCCTTGAAAGCACTTTGCACTTCAAAAAAAGGCAAGGAAATGTTGTTATTTCTACTCTGCAAATGTAAAAACTGAGGCAAAAAGACTATTTTTTTCAACTCTAGTATTTCAAATCTCAAACTCTTTCATTAAGTTGTCCACCAAAATGCAGGGCCTCATCTTACACTCCTTTCTTCCGCAATGCAGAGCCTTGGAAATAAGCTGGCTCAGCACTTTAAATTTGGGATACACAATTTAAAATTGGGATCCACTTTAAAATTGGGATCCACAATGCATCTTCTTGTACTTTCAAGTGACTGGCACTCCATAAGAAATGTGCTTCTAAAATTACATTTGCCCAGGCAAAACAAGGAACAAAAATGAAACTATGACAGTATGCTTAAACTACCAATTACACATTCGATATATTGAGGAAAAATAATATTTATTGAACAGGAATATTGTAAACATGGTAATGTGTCTTATCATTACAACCTGAGAAATAAAGACAGGACTCGATGTTTCTGAAATTTTGTCAAAAACTCTTTATTTTATAAAAATCACAGGATCCATTTAAAAGCTCGACTAAAAAGATTTTGGTAAGAATTAATCAGAAAATAACTTCAGTTGTCACACACCAGATGAGTTTGCCACTGTAACATTACTAAACAGGTAGAGTTTATTTCAATAACTGTCTGTGCTTAGATTTATCCAACTAACTGGACATTATTACACCCACATACTGATGCTGTTCTCGCCACGTGACATTCTGTATGAAGTACTGACAATATGGTACCTTCAAAATAATTTTCTCATTTAGAGCCAGAAAACTGCATCTACCTTCCACCACCAAGAGATATTCAGAAAGCCAGTGAGGACTTATGGAGCTTTTTCCACATCCAGCAACACTGGATGAATAGCATTAAAATGAACAGCATTTTAATCTTTTTCTTCTTTAGCCCTACACAGACTTTCACAGGGAAGTTAATTACTCTTGCCTCTGCCTGTAGTAGCTGTTAGATTTGTGTTATATTGGCTAGCTAGACACCATCTAAATTTTTCCCTTCATCTCCCTGCCATCCATGAGGGATGTCCACCAGAATCTTCCAGATTCACTTCAGAGATCTGCTGTTTTATCAGGATGGCAAAATTAATCCACCAGTAAGCTTAAGAAAATACAGTTCCCTTGAATTCCAGGTGCTGGGTTGGGATTCCTTTACCTGATCTGCCATATCCATTCTTCAAGTGAGTTTACAGCCATCAGTATAGACCAGAAATTACTTTAAATAAAGTAATAAAGGATAACACCCATTAAAGGAAAACGACCAAACTAGGAAAGACTCTGTGTAGGCTCAGCATTAAGGCTGAATGCAACTTATAAAGAGCTCAAACTGTCTTGCAATTTTGCTTTTTCACATGAAAATCATACAAACTCTTTTATGGCTGAGCTGAGCAGAAGAGGCACTGCCCAAGGGGGAGGTATTTAGTGTACAGCTGTCACGTGGCTGTTCTGGATGGAAAAGGGAGTCCATGTCAGGACCTGCATGACTGCAATGCAAAGTGGAACCAGGCAGATCAGGTTGAACATGGCATCGTGGAGATCTAAAAATGTCCTGGGGAAAACATGGAAACACAGCTTTTCAGTATGAAGATTAACTTTCCTGGTCAATTCACAACACGTTATTTTTAAAGTAATCCCATTCTATACACATAGACATGTTACTGTACAGTCAATTCTAAATCAAAGAAATATATATATATATATATCAGGTATCGAATGTATTTCAATAGTATTTTATAATTCCACATACAATTATGTGGAATATATCTTATTTTGTTTTTTCCTTTCATAATAGGTGTGAGAAAATCAGACAATTAGGACTCAAGGAGTTAATTTTAATACACTCTAGGCAACCTAAGAAATCCTGTTCACTACTCTAGCACTCATCTATATTATGTAATATAGAAATCAATTTAAGCAATATCATCCAGTTATAGAATAGAGCATCTGAAAAGCTTTAGTAAGACTGAAAAATCTGGAAGAAAAGCAGAAAACATTTCAAGCAAGCATTTTAATATGAAATTATTTAGGTTAAAATCTTTGCTATCCACATAGTGTGTTGTTTTAGTTGCTGAGTGCTAGACAGAAGTGATGATTAATGCACGAAATTCAGGTGTGGTCTAAAGGGCTGTTTGAAATATCAAGCCCTGTTACATTTGGGTTTAAAAAAAATGATTACAAGATAATATAAACCATAAAAAAATACATGTGAAATTACCACTCATTTTCATTTATTCTAATGGATACGTGGTAATTCCTCATCTAAATCTTCTCTAACGAATAATAAATAAAAGCATCAACAAATATGACTAAAAAAAGAAAACGCAGGAATTAAATGAGTTCCCTTTTATGAACAGTATGGTTGCTGACAGCTCAAAGTGTGCATTTTGGCATTCATCTGGTAGCTGGAATCATTAGCTACTGGCATTCTGTTAATTATTGGATTCTAATTACTTAAATATCAGGAAAGTCAACTCAAGCTGAGAAACAGCCCCTAAATGAACTTTCTCTCCATGAGGCAGTTTATGTTACTTTCTCTTTTTTTTTCCTTAGCATTCAGGGATGAGAGAGGAGACTCACAGAACAGCTATGGACAGCCAAAAAACCTGAAAATGTGTGGAGAGAAAACCCCAAACAAAACCTCCAACAGGTTTTTAAATAAAACCTACAAGTTTCTCTGAATCATAAAAGAATTGACTCATGTCTCATCCCTCCATTTAACAGAGAAAATACTTGTAACCTCCACCACAGCCCAGATTTATTCCTTAGTACATTCACACCCTCATAAACGAGCACAGTTTATCTCAAGTCCTGTACCTGCTGATGCTTCACAAGAAAGCAAAACCCACAGGCTCACAAGTGAATCACTTCACCACTTGGGCAATTGCATTTAGGACTGGGAGTGTTCACTAGCAGGCCACTGGTCCACAGCCAAGCTTTATTGGCAGTGACAATAATTTACCACTTGGATGTTGTTTACTGGCCTGTTTTCAATTGCATTCCCAGTCCACCTACAAGAAAACAAGGCCCACCTTTGGCCTGTTCCTGCACATTGAAGAGGATTGCAGTTTTCAGTACTAAAATTATTCTGTCTTTATACATGGACTTCAGGAAGGACAAAATAAGAAAGAACATCTGCAAAATCACTCACACTGGTGCAATCCTGATTTGGTTTCAGTGGAACAATATTGATTTAAGAAAATAGTATTACCTATTGTACTGTAAAACCTTAAGTTATTGCAGGAATTATGAAACATATCTATAGTACACAGAATAAAGAACAGGAAAATATTTCATTGAGAGACTGGGATAAATCAAGAGCATAACTCAAATTTCATCATAATTACAGCTGAACAAGTAACTTCAGAAATTTCCATATCTACCTTTTTTTTGCACACACAGGAATAAAATATACAATCTTTCACTAAACAGCCCTAACATCACTGAACAGAATGTCAGCTAGTCCAGTAATTCAGTATGAAAGCATTAACAGTTTAAAGTGCCTTCAATAAATAATGAAGAGTTGCTGCCAAATAACTTCATTTTGAAGGATGAATTCAAAAAGCACTGCCAAGAGAAGCTGGTGGTAGTTGCAGTGGCTCTCCAGAAGAGGGAGGTTTTAAACTAGGGATCTTTTTTCCACAGCAAAAAAAAAAAATAAAAAAATCCAAGCCAAACTAAAAAAAAGAAACCCCAAAGAACAACAAAAAACCACCCCAAGCTATATAGGGCAGGTAATGTTTTGCTATGATGATGGAACAAAAGAAAAATCCACAAACCAGGACCGCTCCATTCTGCAAGCTATTGTTCAAATTTTAGGTATATTAAAAAATACTTCTTTAACTACCTTCCACTACAAATTGTTTAACTGCTGTGCAGTGACCACATTTCCTAAGGATGTGGTATAATGTGAGCAGAGGGGAAGGATCACCTCCTTTGACCTGCTGGCAATCCTCTACCCAAAGCTGCCCAAGATCCCAGGTCATCCCATTTCTCCAGCCTGTCAGATCCCTCTGGATGGCAGCATGACCCCCTGATGTATCAGCCACATCTCCCACTTTTGTGTCATCACCAAAATTCCCGAGGGTACATCCTGCCCCATCATCCTGGCCATTAATGAAGATGTTAAACACTCCTGGGGCAGGTACAGACCCGTAGGGCTCAGTTACTGACCCCAAGGAGACTTCCTGGCCCTGAGCACCACCCTCTGGGCCTGACAGCTTTGAAGCCATCCCACTGCCTGCTCATCCAGCCCATATTTCAACAGCTTGTCTAGGAGGGAGGCAGTGCCAAAGGCCTCCCTGAAACCCAGGCAGACAATTCCCACTGCCTTCCCTTGGCTACCAGGCTGGGCATTTTACTGCAGGGGTTTATCAAGTTGGTCAAGCATGACTCCCTTCCCCTTGGTGAAGCCATGCTGGCTATTACTGATGATTTTATTGTCCTTAATGTGCCTGGAAATGGTTTCCAGGATTAGCTGCTCCATTATTGTTGCTACAGTTTAACTTTCAGTTCAAGAAAAAATAGATAATTTAGAATGCAGCAAATATCTTATGGGTTTGGACTGCATCCTCTGTCTTCTTCCAGGAAACAATATTGCTGGAAACTCTCAAGACATATTTATTCAGGGCCCAAACATCTTTTTAATGCAGAATGTGTGTTATGTTCACAACTCACTGCCACTACACCTAATAAAGCAAAGGCTTTCCAAAACACTTAATAGATATTGCCAGCTTTGGAGAAGAAGGAAGGACACAGCTGAGATGGTATTAGCATGGGTCATAATACTTAATTATATATACTTCATCTGTGTGAAATTCTTTTTTTTTTTCCACAAAACAGCTTGAGCATATTTTAAACAATCTCTTGAATTCAGTTTCTGTTTGTCCTCAAACAACTTTGTCCTGGGGCAAGTGTGTTTTAGCTGCCTGCCTATGGCTGAAAGATGAGATCAGCTGATAGGTTTTTAATATATATCTAAGTAATTTTAGCTCAGTCAATGGTCTGAGTACATTGCCACGGGCAAACTGACTCCCTAGAAACAACTTGGAGTAGTCTGGTTTATTTGTGTCCATGCTGAGCTCCATTTGCAAGCAAAGGACATGCCTGTTCACACATATATGTAGAAAAAACACAAGCAGACTGCTTCATATTTAAGAAATTATTTTTGAAGAGACGGACAAGACAAATACATAATACAGTTCGGGTGCTCTGATTAACTCATCTCAGCTTTGTGCCTTTATGCTGTTCCTGGCCTTAGTGAAATAAATCAGATTTCAGCATGACTCAAGTGAAAATACAGGGTTTAGAGATTAAGCATTCAAAGTATTTCAGCTCTCTATATAATAAATTTATTGTTGCTATAGTCCAGGGGCTACTTACCGGGGATAAAAAGATTTATAGCTACTGTGATTTAAAATCCATCCACAAAGGGATCATTTCTCTGACTGAAAGGCATCAGAACTGCAGTTGTTATGTTTCAAGTCAAAATTTCTCTGAATCATCGAGACGAATATATTCAGCCCTCTCATACCCACATCCAGTTCAAACTACTGCTCTTCTGCAAAAATCACTCATCTTATTTGACATTATAATGAGGTTCATGTCCTCTTCACATCATCTCACTGGCTATCTACAGACTGCATTAAAATAAAATTAACTGTTCTCACACAGCCTCAAACTGCCTTTGCTTCTGTCTGGATCCATTTCTGAAGACCACCTGTTGTTCTTTTATGTAATGCTTGTCCTCTTACATTTTTTTAGAAAATTCCTCAAATGTGAAACATTTTCCCAACCTTTGGTGACACATAACCAGACCTTTCTCCTTCATGGGCTGTTTCCACAGAAGTCCATATAAATTTGTCTGTATGTATTTTTAAAGCTGTTTAATCAAAATTTAGGAGAGCTGTGTAGTTTCTCAGGATATTCATGCTGTTCTCTCAAGTAAATCCTAATCAGGACTGATTGTTGCCTTTTAATCCTGCCTTCAGTTATTCCTTATGTTTCCACTTCCTCTTGATGATCATAAATACAGCCTATGACCCTTTCAGTGTAGTGATTCCCTGTTAATTTGGTTTTATAAAAGCCCCCACATGTCCAACAGGCTAACTAGCAACCACAGCTTTCTGGTGTGCATTAAGGTCTCCAGGGACTGCAGTGAAATCATTAGCATTAGAACTGAAGTGGAATTGAAGCCAAAATTATACACTCCTACTAGAGGCAAATTCCCTCCCTCCAGTTATTATACTGCTTTCTCTCAAACAAAAATGTATCTTAAATGCAACCCTATTAGGATTATATATTTAAGGAAGTACGTTTATGAGATAAACAAAAAGCAGAAGCCAACAACATGCATCTTAATAAGACCTATTAGGTGATCTCAAACATAAACCAGGGGATGGTGAACTACTGAAATGTATCCTTTGCTTTTCCAAATTAGGTAGATAGCAAACTAATTGCTGATCAATTTGCTTTTTAGATTACAGGAGTATTTCATAATAATTTCTAAGATTTAAAGTATCCCTTTTGAACTCACCTTGCATCAGGATGATCAACATTATTCAGGTTCCTATATCCAAATTGATTTAATACTTTAACCACAAGCATTGGAGCCAAAGATTGGGCAGGCTTGGTAAATAAAGCATTGGTACCAAAAATCATAGAGGAAAGTGGTGATCTAAAATATTTAGGGGAAAAAACAAATTAATGCATGACAAAAACCTACTAGAGTATTAAGTACAATAGTGATTTAAAAAATCCTGATAATATGCAAAGGCTAAATATCATGATCTTTAGCTTTGTCTAGTTCACACATTATAGCAAACAGATCTGCTATCAGAATGAAATTTAAATTTATTTGGAAATGAAAGGTAAAAAACCTCTGGGGTGTGTGTGTCTATATATATATTTGTATATATATATAACTTAGCCCTGATTATGGAATGACTTGCACTCAGGTTCAACTTTGTGCACTTTGAGTAATTACTGGAGTTAGATTAGAGTGAACAGTGCATGGAGAATTAATTATAGCTTCAGGTTTTCTATGCATGAGGCCAGAAAAGGAGGCAATTTTTTTTCCTCATGGAAGCAATAGATCTCACTTTTGAGGAGCCAGTTCTTCAACAGAGTGACCAGGGCTGAATCTGCACCTGCATAAACATTGATGGAACCAACAGGAAATTCTGTGCACTCTGATAAAAGTCTGAAACATCCATGAGTTGCAATATGCTATGCCACAGCAGGTTTTATCACTTTTATTTCAGAGAGATAATGGCAACCCACAAGAATCAGAAGGACTTGGCTTAAATTACAATATAATAAAAACTAGAAGTTACATAATAATCTGTTTAAATTACTCTGCTGAAGTAACTGCAGGAAACTTTACTCAAGTTCTTATCTTTACTTATGTTAAGTTGCTCTTACAAAAAGTACTTCTGTACCAAGGATCCCGGATCATTTACTGTCTTTACTTTGACACAGTTTAACCTACGGAAGAGTAACAAGGCAAACACAGCACATTTAAAGCAAACCAGAACAACCGACATACCTGCGCTTGTGCTTTACTAAATCTGCATCAACAATATCTGCCAAAGGCAAATTGAACAAACTAAAGGAGGCTTGTACAATTACCCTAAAGAAAAACAAAGTATTTAAGATGTTCACAGTCCTCATATTCACTTCCATAATAAAACTGTAACTGACATTCTGACCCCCCCCCCAATGCTGACATTTCCCCAAACACACACAGCTGAGATGTTCTTCAAAACGTGGTGATGTATCTGTTTAAGCAGGAGTTGTGAAAGCATTACTAAATCTGTTCTTGGCTGAGAATTAGAAATCAAAATGCAAACCAAAAAGGTGGGTTTTTTTTTTTTTTTGCTTTTTTTCCTGGACATTGGTGAAAAAGGTCATGAATACTTTGACGGTAAATGACATTATCAGTAAATGTCATTTAAAATGACCAAGAGAAAAGAAACACCTTAGAAAAAGGGGAAACTGAAAATTTGCTCTTCAAATCTCAAAAAGACATGAGCATTGCTGGAAAGACCATATGGAAGACAAACTTCAAGGTGGGAGAATTAGAATACTAAGAATATTTTACATG